AGTTCAAATCTAGCCTCAGGCACTTTCTAGCTGTATGACCCTGGAATTTTGATACTAAGTTTAATGCTTTGTTTCTCCATACAACACTTCTATCTAGACTCTATTACAACTCAGTCCTGGTAAAACACATGACTCAATAATGCAGAATCAAGTGGTATTAGCACATATTTGTCCAGAGGGGGCATTATCCTCTCCTGCCTTTCTCATCTCCCTCCCAAAATGCCATCTCAGCAGCTAGGTGACCCAGTGGATAGAATACTAGACCTGGAATCAGGAAGATCCTGGGCAAGTCATTTAACCTCCGTCTGCCTCAATATTATTATCTGTAAATTGGGGATAATAATAGTACCCACCTCCCAGGGTAGTTGTGAGGATCAAATGAAGTAATAAGTATAAAGAGTACAGTGCCTGGCAAACAGTAAGTGCTGTGTAAATGCTAGTTATTTATTGTTGTTGTTTTTATCATCATAATCATCATCATTATCATCATTGTCATCCTCATTCATCATCATCATCATCATCATCATCAAGCACCCGAAGGAGACAAATATTCAGATAATTATACCTTGAAGGGGTGCTGTGATTCAGAATTGATAATATGTAGTTTGCTTAATTAGTGAGGAACATAAAGATTACAACTAGGATTAACATATTTACTCTTCCTTCTATGCTACCTAGACCTGGGTATTTGACAATGCTGAACAAGAGTGGTGACGGTGATAGTAGTAGTAGTGATATTTATGTATCGAAGGAACGAATGAATGAATGAAGATGAGACTATAAATGGAGGTGATGATAACTTGATATTGGGTGCCATTTTAAAGTTCTTAGTGTTTTAATATTCATTATCTCATTTGATTCTCACAACAACCCTGCAAAGTAGGAAAGATGGAGGTTACTACAGGGTATCCCACTTTGTAGATGAGGAAACTGAATGCAGTAGAAATGAAGTGACTTATCCCAGCTAATACATAATACTAATAAGACATTTGAGCTGGTAAATAATGCAGATGGCACTTGAATCCATTTCTTCTGATTCTTATTCTACAGTGGTTGGTTTGGAATTGAGGAAGCTGGGCTACATATTACCTGTGTGACTTTGGGTAAGTCACTTAACATTTCTCAGCTTCAGTTCCTTCATACTAAGAGGGGCTTAGACTAGATGACCTCTCAGGTCCTTTCCAATTCTAAATCTATAGGCTTAGCAAGATTAAAAGCTTTGAATGCTTAAGTGATAATGGATAGGCTTTGTCTTATCTGAGGAAAAATGCTAAGTGTGTAAAAGTCATTACTATAAAATTGGACACCACATTTTGTACACACACCAGTTTACAAAGAGCATTTGCTAAGGCAATGAGTGGTTGGTATCTCCACTGGTAGAAAATGTATCCATATTGATAAAGTCATAGATCTTTGAATTATTGAATAATAATAATTGACATTTTATAGTGCATTTTAGTTTATATGTGTTTTCTTCACAACATCTCTGTGGTAGTATTAATATTTTTAACTCTAGTTTCCAAACTATTAAACTGAGCTTTAAGGAGATGAAGTGATTTGTTCAAAGTCATATATTTAGTAAGTGGCAGAGCTGTTTTTTTTTTTAACATTGTTCCTCTGAACTTCAAGTATAATGAGTTCATCATACTTTGCATAGGCATTTTCTACCATTCAATCCATAATAAGGAAACTGAGGCTGTGTATTTAAAAGAGACGTATAGCTACTTTTAAGCATTTCCCAAAAGAAACCCTCTCACATTCAAGGCCTTATGTCTGGGGGTACAGTCATAGTTCTTTGTAATTGCCCTTTGGTTTTCAAGGACATAGCATTGCTGACTAGGCAGTGAAGAAGCATGTTTCTCCAAGCATACAGGAGGCTCATTCATCAGAGGATTGCAGAGTCAGATACTCAAAGAAAAGAAAATTCTCTCTGCTTCAGTCATACATGGCTCCCTGGGAATAGGCTTGCCAGCTTCTCTGACATACTGTTCCCCTTGTCTATAACATTTTATTGCTTGCTACAGATGATCAAGATGTAAGAAGTGAGTTCAGAGCCTCATATAGTATGAAGAATTTGGGGCATTACTCCCCCAACCTACCCCAAGTCAAATGTGACACAGAAAACAATTCTGAACAGGATTCTAGATTCACATGAACTCTCAAACCAAAGGGATGGTATAGAAAAGGTGATGGGTAAATACTCAGCAAGCCATGCACCTGAAAAGAATTTAGACTACAAGCTTCTTGAGACCAGCACCATGTAACACAAAGAGAATTAAACTTGGTGCCAAAATATTTTAACTAGAATTTTCTATCTAACATTTACTAGCTGTGACCCTGGAAAAGTAACTTCATCTCTATGTGCCTCACTTTCCATATCTATAAAAATATGGAAAATAATATATGCACCACCTACTTTGAAGGTTTTTTTCTTTGAAACCTTAAAGTAGTATAGAAATGTGAACAATTATGATGATAAAGGTGATAACTTCATTTCCTGTACAGTGTTTTGTATACAGCTTTCCACATAGAGAAAAAAAAAAGTTGTGACTAGTTGATTTCCCTCCTCCTACCCTAAGATATTCAGCCTAAAATAAAACCAGTGAGTGAAAGAGAGTCAGTATAGTACAGTGGAAGGAACAGTGGATTTGTAGTCAGAGGACTTAGGTTCCAACTCTACCTCTTCCACTTATTACCTGTGTGACCTTGGGAAAATCCTCTAATCATTATGGGCTTCAGTTTCTTCATCTGTAAAATGAGGGATTGGGTTAGATGATCTCTAAGGCCCCTTCAAGCTCCAAAATCTGTGATCCTGTGAAGATCTCCTGTCCTCCTTGCTGCTCCACTATCTGTTCTTGATATGTGACTATGTTCAAGTTGCTCACTTCAGCAATGTAACTCTGCCAAGAGGACATTTTCTAGGGGCCATTATTGGCCATCAAGATTGGGTGATTAGAGGTTCAGGACAGCCGTTGCTGCCGTGTGTCAATTTGTATTTCCAGCTTCTGACTTCAATGAAAGCAATGTGTTAAGAGCTGTCCATAGTGCTGAAGGGACCATCCCTGCTGTTACAAGGGTGATTAAAGCCTAGTTTCTGCTACAGTTTTCAGACGTGGTAGACAGCTACTTTGGGAATACAGTTTGTCTTGAGAAACTACTTGGTAATTCCCCTCCAATTGGTCTGCAATCCTTTTTTAGGGTCTGTATGTTCATGAAAGTGTTTAAAGAAGGTGTTGTATAATTAAGCATGTCAGTATTCTTGAACTCCCCCCAAATGTTAAAAGCGCCTTTCTTTGACTGCTGATGAATATGTTAACAGGCTGTTTGAGGGATGTTTCCGTGCCTGTGAATTATGCCTAGGATTTATGTCCCACTAAGCAGGAGCATTAGGTATTAATAGGTGACTGGAATTGGAGTCAGGGAGTTCTGGGTTCAAATCCTCCCTCTGGTATTTTAAAGCTATGTAAGCATGGTCATGTCACTTGAATAAATGGAGCCTCAGTTTACCTTCATTAAAAAAGGATAATATTATTTGTAATACTCAACTTGCAGGGCTGTTGTAAGGCTTGAATGAGATAATGTATGTGAAGTGCTTTGCAAATGAAAAATTCACTATATAAATGAATTGTTATTATTATTTTAAGGAATTATTTGAAAAGGAATTGGTCTACTCTCAGACTGGTGCTAGTTATTTCTCTAGATTTTGCATTTTTCATGCTTGAGCACAAAATGAGTGAACACAGAGAGCTTTTTAGTCACAATGTATTGGAGCTGAAAGGAACTTTAAAACATTGAATGTTAGAGCTAGATGGGGCCCTAAAAAAAGAAGACTATTAGAGACAATTCTCAAAAACTGCAAATTATTAGCAACCTTGTGAAAGATTGCTCCAAGGAACTAATAATAAGAAAAATTCAAATGAAAACAACTCTGAGATTTTACCTCACACCCAGAAAATTGGCAGTGATGACAATAGATGCAAATAGTCAATATGGGTGAGGCTTAAAAAAGGGCAGACATGCTAATGCACTGTTGATGGAGCTATGAATTGGTCCAACTATTCTGGAAAGCAATTTAGAATTATGCTTTTTAGAAAAGTGACTAAACTATTGGTATCCTTTGACCCAGAAGTCTTATTTCAAGGCATATAACCAAAGGAGATCAGAGACAAAAATAAAGGTCCTAAATACACCAAAATATTCATAACATTTCTTTATGTGGTAGCAAAGAAATGGGGAAAAGTATAGCAGATCCCTATAGATTGCCCAATGGCTAAACAAATTGTGATAAGTGACTGTAATGGAATATTACTGAGCTGTAAGAAATTATGAATATGAATTTATAAAAACATGGTTTAAGACTTACATAATCTGAGACAGAGTGAAGTAAGTAGAACCATCAAAAGGTTATATAAAATCCTATGATAATGTAAACAGCAAAAGAAAAAAAAATAAAACTGAACATTTGTGTTCACTGATTATGCTTCACCTTGGAACAGAATTAAGAAGATGTACTTCCTTTCATTCATTAGAAAGGTAGAGGACATTTGATGTGGATGTTTCATACACAATTAGATATAGCTGATGTGTTTGTAAGTTTTGCTTAAGTTTTTTTTTTTCAAACTTACCTTTTTTTTAGTCTTTGTTATAAGAGATGACTAACTGGATAGGAGAGGGGAAGGGATATCTTTAGAACTGAATGAAATATGAAAACAAAAGTTATAAATAAAAGTAAGATACATTTTTAAAAAAGAAAATTAATTGTTAAAATATAGACTCATAAACTGGTGGAGTTGCAAGAGACCTTAGAGATCATCCAATCAAACTCATTTATTTACATGGGAACCTGATGCCCAGAGAAGGGAAATGATTTTCCCAAATTCATACAACTAATGAAAGAGTTAGGACTAAAACACAGATCTCCTGAGTTCCATCAATTCTTTCCATTACACCTCACTGTTTGCTGGGGTGTGGGTCTAATTATCTCCTCTGTCATTTCCTAGCTGTGTGGAGGAATATAAGCTGGCTCCAGATGGTAAATCCTGCCTCATGCTATCGGATGTCTGTGAGGGCCCCAAGTGCCTCAAGCCTGATTCTAAGTTCAACGACACTCTGTTTGGGGAGATGTTGCATGGTTACAACAACAGGAGTCAGCATGTGAACCAGGGCCAAGTCTTCCAGATGACTTTCAGGTATGAGTTGGGCCTTGTCTATTCCATGTGGATATAATAAGAGTTGTGTCTGAATTATTCGATTTAAATGCAAGGCAAAAGAAAAGGAGTAGAAGATTAATATTAAGCACCATTGAACATATTAACTGAACACACTGAAATTTCTGTCCTATTTCTTCATGTTTCCACTTTTACTTATGGTTTTCTGTATCCTACCTCAAAGTATATGGAAGTATGGATATAATTTCTGTAGTGGAAAGAACTGTCTTTGTCATCAAAGGACTTAGGTTTCAATCTCATCTCTTCTACTCGGTATCTGTGTGACATTTGACAAGTCACTTCCCTGCCCTAGGCCTCAGTTTCTCCATTGGTAATATGATAGGGCCAGATGAGATGATTTCTAAAGCCCCTTCTCAGTCTGAATTCTATGATGGTTTCAGGTACTGCCAACACTGGGGAGAAGCTGCTCTCTCATTTTATTGGCTTCTCTTTGTGAAGTAAAGAGCTTCGTTTTGAGCTATTCTTGGTTCTAATTTATCTTTTGTGAGTCTAAAGGCCTATGATCCCAAGCACTGCTTGTTAACAAACCTGCAAAAGATGAGAAGATTTGGGGAGGGATATTCCCTGCTTCCTTCACTATTATCAAGCCTGCTTGAACCTCAAATCTGTTTGGGGTCAGTATTCTCTAGATCTAGGCATTAATCATTAGGATGCCTGAAAGGTCAGTGCTGTAAAATAATGACACAATTTTGCTCAAGAGAAAGAGGTATTTAATGGAGACTATGAAGCACATAGACTATAAGGGAAATTATTAGCTCAATAACAACCACATAAACTCAATATAAATTGGAAGCTATTGAGCACATGGACCATCTGGGGAAATTCCTTGCTCGGCATAAACATACACATCTATAAAAAAATTACTCAAATATAATGAAAATAGAATCCCTAACAATAATCCTGAAAATATGACACAATTGTTCCTGAAAAGAGGATGACAATGGATTATTTCTCATGTTCCCAGTTGGGCACACCTTGAAATGAGGTCTTGCAAACTTCCCAAGTTTGAGAACTTGAGAACTGCTCAAGTTCCTGAGCAGTGATAAGGGAAAAGAGAGAAGAAAGAAGGAACAGGCTGCTGATAATTACATTCTCCAGAAGAGAAAATAGCTAGGAGAGAGGTGGATGTGGACAGGCACCCTCCTAACCAACTGGAAGATAAAAGAAGAAGGATGGTAATTTGGAAGGAAGAGAGTAAGAGTAAGGTTAAGGGGGATGACATCAGATGACCTGCTTTGAATCTCTAGCTACTATTCCCGGTCAAGTGATATACCACTAATTATGTCTCTTCTTGCTAGTACATAAAGTTGCCCCTCAGCTCTTTCCCTAAGGGTAAAGTCTAAGTTCTGCCATCATTAAAGCTTCAGGTGGGTTGTTTTTCCTTTCCATGGTAAGAGTTAGGTTTATATTAGAGACAGGGTATATGGGATAGAGGTCGTCCTCCCATTAATGAACAGAAATCTACCTTCTTGATCCAGGCCACATGACTTGTTCAGGACCACAGTTTTAATTCAAGAGAGCCTATTCAGAATTGAAAATGACTTCTTCAAGCCCATTATCAATCCCACTGAACCAACTTTTGGAGCCAAATGCAGTAAGGGATCCCCACTCCCATCCCCTTCTGTTCAAACAGCAAAAAAGTTATGAGTTATTAGCTATGATATTGTCATGGCTGGTTTAGCTGAGGAGAGAGGCATCATAAAATGATGTCCTTACATGTCCTTAGAGTTCTTGGGGACACTATCGTAAGAGCAGCATTTAATGACCATTTTCATCTTGCCCATCTTCTACCAATGATCATTTGCAAGTTGAACCTCTTGTAAAGGCCAGCAGGCTTTGTCCTGTCCACCTCTGTCTTACGTCTCATTTTCTAGTATTTTCCTGGCCTTGGGTTTTAGTAAATGCCTTGAATAAAATGTCCCTGATGATCCATATATAGATTAGCGTCCTACTCTTCCCACTTTCCACCATGCATAACCAACTCTTATCCTCTCAGAAACAAAGCCCTGCTTGAAAGAGGTTAAACTTAATCACAATCTCTTTCTGGTTCATCTCTCTATTTCCTGCCACACAAAGTAACCCAGAGATTTGGCCTCCTTACTTAGAAAACTCTCTGACTAAGGTGCAGCTTATGATTGCTTTGTAAGCTGAAGTCCCAATCCTCAATCCGTCACTTCTCTGTCCCTGTCAGTAAGACCCCTGGCAACTAGGACATTGGAAATTGCAGCAAAGAGAGCATTTAAGTGGCTCTATATGCTACCCCATACTCCTGCCGTTGGGACAAAGATATTTGTTAGTTGACTGGAAGTTGCTCTTGGAAGTGTCCAGGTTGTCCCTTTCTGACCATTCCAAGTGCTGTTACTTTAATGTGAGGATTAAAATAAGTGAGAAAGGGGAGGTGCTCAAGGTTAAATCCAGTCATTCAAGGAAAAAGATTTGGAAATCTCTATTTGGTTGGTGTGCATTAAATTGCTACTTGCCTGACTTCCCTCAGGACTGTTGATGTGGTCTAAAAATTAAGCTCAGGTCCCACATGTCTGGGACATACTCCCTTCTTGCTCCAGCCCCTTCCTTGGAAATATATTCTATATAAGGCCTTTTCAGATTATACAACCCCCCCCCCAAGCTGCTAATGTATTTCTTCCTATTGAAAAAAAAAATCTTGCATTTATTTTGTATGTCACATTTTATATTTACTTATATGTGTACATGTTGTTTTCCTTTATAAAACATAAGTTTTTTAGAGTTGTTTTTTTTTCATTTTTCCTTTGTAATACAGTGTCTAGCACAAAGTAAACACTTAAATTCTTGTTATTAATTATTCAGGTGGTAAAGTGGATAGAATACTGTACTTGGAGTCAACAAATCTTGAATTTGAATCCTGCCTTGGTCAGTTATGACTCTAGGCAAGCTACTCAACTTCTCTCAATCTCCATTCCCTCATCTGTAAAATGGGAATAAATAATAGCACCTGTCTCCTAGGGTTGTAAGGATCAAGCTAGAGTATATGTGTGTGTGTGTGTGTGTACATATATATATATAGTGCTTTGGTATTATATAAATGCTAGTTATTAGCAGTAGTTGTATTGATTTCCCTCAGAGGCATGTAAAATAAGGATTCTTTGATGCCCTTATATGTCTCTTTCCAGGTAGCTAGATGCAAAAAGAAGATGCTGGCATGGCGATAACACCTAACTTGGGTAAAAAAAAGCCTGTATTCTAGTCTTGGCTTTAGTACTTTCTTCCTATGGATCCTCAGTCAAATCACTTTAGTTCTCTGATCTTCTCATTCTCATCTGTCGTATGGGAAAAATAGCACTAGTACTACTTGCCTCTCTTGGATGTTGAATGGAAAGCTTGTTGTCTGCTCTGAAGTGATACATAAGTATTATAGTTATTTTTCCCCATTTTAACACCTCTTTCTGCCCCAAAGTAACTTGGAAAGGTTCTGTATATACTGTGTTAGATTTCCTCTTACAAATAGGAACTTGGGTGATAAGCATCCATTAAGTGAAATAAATGGCTAAGCTATTTGAGTCCTCATAACAACTTGGTTACCCAGGACAAAATCCAGTCCTCAACATGGATGCCTATCGTATTGATCCATGTGACTTAAGGGCCATGTACCTCCTTCCCCAGCCCCCCTACCCCCCACCCCCAGCAAATCCCTTGCTCTGTTACCTTTCAATGGTGCCTGAGAATTCCATTGGTATCTCTTCAAGAGCCATCTTAAAGATGTAATATTATTCTATGATTCTGTCAAGTATCACAAAGTAGAAAATTCAGTTATTCAACTACAGGGATAAAGTTTGATCTGCTAGACTGCTTATCACAACCTTACTTAGATTTCTCATCTATTTCTTCAGGCCCTGGATCTACTCCAGTGGTTCTTAACTATTTTGTGACTCATAGGCTCCCTTTGAAGCCTATGGACCCCTTTCAGAATTATATTTAAATGCATAAAAATACATAGAATTAAAAAGGAAACCAATTATATGAAATAAAGCTATCATTTTTTTAAATAAGGCTCATGGACCCTAGGATAAGGACCCTTGATTACAGAGATCTTATCTCTGGTTTCCCTCAAGTTTATAAGAGAAATGATTTGGGGAATGTTTTTTCCCCTAATTCATGGGACTTTGGGGGGAAAGAGTAATGTTCTTTAGGAGGAAGTGTTGGTTTAGAGGCTTCTAAAGCTTGATAAAGATGTAGTTCTAATGCTTTTCTTCCCTCTCTCGTCCCAGAATATGGCACTTAAAATCCCCTTCAGGATCATTTACCCTTCTAAATGATGTGCAATAGGTCAGATTCATGCTTCTTTTCCACTTGGCTTTTGATTAAAGTGGGGTTTGGCAAGGTTTCATTTCTGGTTAAGAAATTGTTTAAAAATTTCTCTTTTACTGTTACTTCTCACTCTCTGCTTTCAACTATTCATTTTCCTTCAGCTCTATCTGTGAAAATCTTGATGTTGGCCTTGGATGCTAAAGAACAACAAAAATCTAGTGAGTGAGCAATGGAGTGAACAGTATCTCTGCAGTCAGGGGACCTGGATTCCAATTCATCCTTTAACAGTTATTGCTTAAGGGACATTAAGTAAGTCCTTTAATGTCTCTGGACCTCGGTTTCTTCATCTGTTAAAAGTATTAAGACTAAAGTCCCTTCTTGCTCTTAATCAATGATCTTAAGTGAACTCCCACTCTGATCTACTCTAGGATTGAGTAATGAAGGCCAAAGAAGAAAGCTGGCAAACAAGCCTCAGAAATAACAGAGGAATGAGGCTGTTTAAGAGTGTGGGTTGAGCCTGGACCAAAGATAGGCTGTGAAAAAGTCATACTAGAAATAGAATACCTTGTCATAGGATAGTGCAATGATAATAGGATGTCAGAATTGGAAGACACTTTAGAGACTATATAGATGAGCCTCCTGATTTTACAGATGAAGGAACTGAGATTTAGAGAGGT